TCGTTGTCTTTTGCACATGCGTGGATTACCGTCTGGTTTGTTCTTCATTGCAAGTCGGTAGTTTGGCAAAGAAACTAAAAGCTGCAGCGTGGCGAGGAATGCGGAAATGCGGGTGTTTTCTGCAGCATGGCGACGAATGCGGGAATGCGGGTGTTGTGTGTGTGTGTGTGCGCCTTTGTGTCTATCTGTGATGAGACCATGCGAAACGTCTCACCTGTGACAGATGTGTTAGATGGGGATGTGGACTTGTTTTTTCTTTTTTCCTTGTTGTTTTGTTGAAGGAATGAACGTCCGGGGTCCGAAGGTCCGTATTTGGGATTTCTTGGGAACATACAACGTTCCCTGGGACGTTCTATACAAAAAACAGTCTCTGAGAGAGCAACTGGTTCCTTGGGACTGCAAGATACGATAGTGTAGAGGATTTCGTAGGGGTCTACGCATTCGGCCAACATGGTCCTTCATGCGTGGAAGATAGGTTTACGAAAGTCTGCGGTAGGGTGTGCTTTCTTAGGTTACTCTTTTTTCCAGAGCGGGAGAGCTTCCCGTTCGATCCTCTAGGTCCTTGCTGGTTTAGTTAGTTCTCTCTCTTGTTTTAGTGAGGACAGGTTTGGTTTTAGTCTTGTGATGGCTTGCGGCGGTTTGAACCTCCGTCTTAGCGACTTCTTGCTGGGTTAATGCCAGCGAGAGATGCTGTTCCCCACGGCGCAATCTCGATGATACTCCGTATAATCGAATGGAATTTGACACGGCATTTCAGCTAGCTCAAGATGCCAAAAGCCTGAAGTCTTGCATAGCCCTGCAGATTGGAAAGAGAGAAGAAGGTAACTAGAGGACGATCGTTCAGATGCGTGACGTTGCTCAGCTTCTTGCCCTGATGATCTTATCTCAAGGGACTCCCCGCCATCTCACGTCTCTTTATCTATCCCGGTTAGGGTAGCGTTGCATTATCCGCCGTCCGCCAACGTTTTGAATGCATCTGGGCAAATTTGAGTTCAGATGCATTCAAATCCCTGGCGGATGGCGAGTAATGCACTACTATGCCCTTAGAACATTCAGCATAGAAACTCACTTACGATTTTGCACGACGGTGGTGCATGAACATCTGCATGTTCTGACCGAAAAAATGCCCGCGCGTTTTGACTTAGTCAATTATTACCAGAAAGACTTTTGATGAGATGCGGGCATGATGTCCAGATGTTCTGCGCTGGTGATATCATATCACTGATATCAGGTAGGGAGCATCCGAATATGCCCTTTTGCCCTTTAGACAGAATGTTGTCCGGTACACTTGTGCAGTTTCCTTAACGTTCTTGGCCACAATGAGCATCCAAGCAAATAAAGAGAACATTCTGTCTAAATGCTGCTGGGATGGTCATTGTGGCAGACGGACAACGACTTAAAATACTCCGTTTGTATCTGCTGGTGGAAGTCTACGAATCCCTTGGGTCTCTTCTTCTGCAAATTCTGCACCTTGTCGGGCACCTCCTGTGCGTTGCCCACCGTAGGTGAGCTGTGCCATGAGGATGGGACACCCTCTTCTAGATGAGCTGTGCCATACGTATGGGACATCCTCTGCTAGGTCAGCTATGCCATAAGTATGGGACATCTTCTGCTATGGTGACACAGCGAAGGTGAGCAGTGTCATATGTATGGGACGTCCTCTGTGATGGTGCCAGGCTTGTAGTACACACGAGCTGACCTGCCTGGCAGCTTGAGAATCTTAGGTCCGAAAAGGACCTTTGCCTCTCTCTCACCGAGAAACATTAGTCCATGGGCGAGATTGCATTTTTGTTGTATTCTGTAGTAGTGAATTAGATAACCCATTGTGGCTTCGTTCATAGAAGCAGCATGGGTTTGGGAAGTACTGTACGTTGCCGTGGATATGATGATGCCAGGCACCAGGATTCTTTTTTTCTTTGTACGTTTTTTTTTTTTTTGAGGAGCGAACTATATAACGGAGAAGCAGTGTGGATTTGGGCAGAATGCGTGCTTTCCCTGGCATGTGCTGCCAATAGCCAGGATTGTCGTTTTCAATCGTTATTTGATTGTTTGTGTGGTGATTTAATGTGGTTAGGGATGTTGGACATAACGCTGTACGCTCTCCCTCTCTTTGCTATCCCTGCTCTCTCCATCCCGTTCCGTTAACCCTACCTCACTACCTCAATGCCCCTCTTTCCCTCCGTGGCCCCCCCCCATCCCCCCAGTCTCTCTCTCGATTTGTCATTTTAACATGCCAGCAATGTCAGAGCCATTAATATGCTGGGTGTATTTTGGGTGTCGGGGCCAGTGCGCCGCAGTGAAATTCATTTTTGTGGTTTCGATGGCCTTCACCATGGATGAGGAGAGGGCGTCATCTGGATTTTCCTTTTTATTTGTTGCGTGTTCCAATATTTTAAATGATTCTTGTTTCGTATGCTTATGCACCTGTATTATCGTCGTCTTTTCCTCCCCCCTCTCCCTCCCCCCTCTCTCTCTTTCTCCCTGCCTCTCTCTCTCTCTCTCTCTCTCTCTCTCTCTCTCCCCGTCCCCTCCGATGTGAAAGAAAGGCCTTGGGAGGAACTGACTTTGCCACGGATGAGATGCTCATCACCACGATTTTCTATTTTCATTCGTTATTTGTTTTGTAGAAGTTTATCCACCTGCATTTTCTCTCCTCTCCCTCGCCTTTGGAAGCCACCATGGCTATAGAGGGGGATGCAGACAGGGGAAAGTGTAGAGGGATGGAGAGAGGGGGGCAATATCACAGTGATGTTTGTCATTAAGATGTTTACTCAGCAGCTGTTTGGTAACGGCTACACGTGTTTACCATCCAGGATCTTTGGAGGTCACTGCCTACCGTCTTCATCGGAATAGAATGCCGGGTCATTATTGCCGCATCTGGTCTGAAAGTTGCCCTGAATATAGATATAATGACCAGGTGTTCTATTTGGGTCAAGAGGGTAGTCTCTGTTGCAGCTTTGGTTGCGTGCAAAGTCGGCGTTGGGTAAACACATTTCACCTTTATTCCACTTTTGTTTTAATGTGTTGACGTCTCTCTCTCTCTCTCTCTCTCTCTCTCTCTCTCTCTCTCTCTCTCTCTCTCTCTCTCTCTCTCTCTCTCTCTCTCTCTCTCTCTTACACATACACGCACGCACACACACACACATATACACACAAACACTGGTTCTCTGTCTTGGCAGATTTGAGCAGTTAGGATTGGGGCTCGTACTAGCGAGCCACTCTTTCTCTATGGATGGATGTGTTTTGCTGGTTTGGTTTTTTATACATGGCCTAATTTTATGCCCTGCCTTGTAGTGAGGGCTGTCTTGTTGATGAAGTAATGTATGTGGGTGGCCACGAGTTTTCTCTGGGTTGAGAGTTGGGTTTTTGACCACAATATCTCTGCCAGGAGGCTCAGAGAGTGTTTGCTGTGGGTGTCATTTCCTGTGCGCTGCTCTATGGGAGCATGTCTAGGGTGTTTTGGACCATTTGTCGTGTTATCCTTGCACAGGGGTCATGCTAATCTCCTCTGTATCATTTGATTTTAATGAATGTCCCGAAGGATGCCTTCTAGGAGGTTTTAAGCAGCGGTGCTGCTGGTTTCACATGGAGATATCGTGGAATTTGGCATGGTTCTTGCAGTGGCCTCGCTGTAGCACCAGGACGTCCCTCGCTGTACCACCAGGACGTACCTCACTGTACCACCAGGACGTCCCTCGCTGTACCACCAGGACGTCCCTCGCTGTACCACCAGGACGTCATCCTATTCTGCATGTTGCGTGGCAGGGGAGGTTCATGGCACTCTTGGTGTTGAGTAGAGGTCCTGCGGCGTATTTTTTATTTGTGGTGTTGTTGTAGGTTGTCGCTGAGGGCTTTAATTTTTAACGAGTTTTGTATTATGTGAAGTAAGCATTTGTAAATTTTCAGGGCATTTGGATGTGTCAAAAAAAAAAAAAAATCTCCAAAGATGGTGGTGCCGAAAAGGGGCTCGCTCACCAACTCTCTTTTCATTTTTTCTTATTTTTATTAGTTTTATTTTCTGTATTCTATTTTTATTTCAAATTTGGTAAAGAATTTGGATGTAAGGCTAACTTAGGGTTGACATGACTATTGTGATTACATTTTTCAGTGATGAACTTCAAATTTTCTTAGTATTTTTATTTCTTTAGGAATAATTTAGATTGTTATGATAATTTTCGTTGACTTTTTGAGTTGTTGGGGCTGTGGAGTTGGTTGTGGAGTTGGCTGTGGGGTTAAATATAGTGGTGTCCTCTATGTGTTTGGCCCATGATGCCTTGCCCACTGAGGGCCCCACCTAATTTTGTAAGGGCTGCCGGGCCCAGTTCCCGGCTTTTATATTAAAAAAAAAGAAGTGTCTGAGTGCAAAAAAAATTGTTGTTTATTTTATTTTTCTTCGTAACATATGTTTTTTTTTTTTTAATTTTTTGTTTTTGTTGTTTTTAGTCTGCGTTCAGCCTGAACGGCCGAACGCATCCCCAAGTGGTCCCGTATGTTTGGGCGTTTGGCCACTCCCGAATGCCGGTTGCCCTCTATTTGACGATATATATATATACTGTTGAGGGTTCAGCCTCCTGATGAGTCGGTGAAACACCGACGAAACAGTTTGTCACAGCCCCTCGTTTGTTGTCCTCTTCTCCCTCTCTGCCTACGGTTTACCGGGCAGTTCTATTTGA